CTGCGCCCTTTCGGCCACCTTGCCTCACCTCCTCTTCTTTTCCCTACCTGAAGGCGCCCTCCTCCTTGAGCTCCTTGCAGGGGGCGAGCAAGCCGGTCTTTTTGTTGAACAGCTCCCAAGGTGGTTGTGGGTGGCATTTTGGGAACACGGCGGTGGGGTTGGGGGTCGCAACGCTGCTACCTCTTGCTCTGCCCCATGGAGGCTAGCCGGAGCTAGAGCACACTCAGCTCGCAGCTGGGACAGCAAGCTAGTTCCGCAAATCCGACCCCATTCGGCAGGGGTGTGTGTGTGTGAGAGACAGTCATATGACAAAAATTAATCACTGGGAGCAGCCACAGCACCAGAAAAAAGGAGGGGAGGGCGAGGGAGCGGGTGGGGATTCAGGCGGCTTCGCCGGCCATCCATTGGCTGAGAAGCCAAGCCCACATGGTGAACACAATGATCCCCTCTTGTCTCAGCTGAGCCGCGGTGCTGGGGCTGTTTTGGGGTTGGAAAGAAAAGAAAGGGAGCAGGCGCAGCTGCTCCTGCGAAAGTGCAGGGGTGGCACGCCCTTCATGTGGACGTGCTGTGTGCACATGATCTGCTTTAGCTTTCCTATTTTGTTTTCTAAACAGCGAATCCCCCATTGCCTTCCTCAAGATGCTGTGCGCCTGCCTCAGAATCGAATGAAATCAATCTACTGCCACCTTAAGCTCGTGTGTTGCTTGCTTGGGGCGGCGGCAGAAGGGGCCAGTTAGCAAAGGCTGGCGAAGGGAACGAGGGGCCTAGACAGGGAAATGGATGCTGTTCTAGTGGGCTGCCCTTCCACATGCATGGCAGTCTAAAGTAACTCGGCAGTGCAGCACGATGCTCCCATGAATCAGCTATGCGACAGGAGGTCTGTCTCCGTGGCCCGGTCTGGCTCATGCCACGGACCGGCACTGGGCTGCGGACTGGGGGTTGGGGATCTCTGCTGTAGAAGAAATGGAGTAGCCCTCATAGTCAACAAAAGAGTGGGAAAAGCTGTACTGGGATACATTCTCAAAAATTATAGATTGATTTCAATACGAATCCAAGGCAGACCTTTCAACATCACAGTAATCCAAGTTTATGTACCAACCACTCATGCTGGAGAGGCTGAAATCTATGAAGATTTACAACACCTTCTAGAACTGACACCAAAGAAAGATGTTGTCATTATAGGGGACTGGAATGTTAAAGTCGTGAGTCAAGAGATAAAAGGAACAACAGGGAAGTTTGGCCTTGGAGTTCAAAACAACGCAGGGCAAAGACTAGTCAAGTTTTGTCAAGAGAAGAAGCTGGTCATCACAAACACTCTTCCAACAACACAAGAGGTGACTCTACACATGGACATCATCAGATGGGCAATACCGAAATCAGATTGATCAGATTGATTATATTCTCCTCAGCCAAAGATGGAGGAGCTCTATACAGTCAGCAAAAACAAGACCTGGAGCTGATTATGGCTCTGATCATCAGCTTTAGCAAAAATAGACTACGTTGTGTGTTTGACTCTGGACTCTGACCTTGGACTATGTTCTGTGAGTTGGTTTGGTAATTGGATATCGGCTTTGCATTCCTAGTATTCCTGACTTTGGACTGGCTTATCGGACCTCGGCTGTTGTAACCTCCGGGAACGTGACAAAGAAGGCAAAGTGGCTGTCCAACAAGGCCTTAGAAATAGCAGAGAAGAGAAGGGAAACAAAATGCAAGGGAGATAGGGAAAGTTACAGAAAATTGAATGCAGACTTCCAAAGAATAGCAAGGAGAGACAAGAGGGCCTTCTTAAATGAACAGTGAAAAGAAACAGAGGAAAATAATAGAAAGAGGAAAACCAGATATCTGTTCAAGACAATTGGAGATATTAAAGGAACATTTTGTGCAAAGATGGAGATGATAAAGGACAAAAATGGCAGGAACCTAACAGAAGCAGAAGATATCAAGAAGAGGTGGCAAGAATACACAGAGGATTTATACCAGAAAGATCTGGATGTCCTGGACAACCCAGATAGTGTGGTTGCTGAACTTGAGCCAGACATCCTGTAGAGTGAAGTCAAGTGGGCCTTAGAAAGCTTGGCTAACAACAAGGCCAGTGGAGCTTATGGCATTCCAATGAGACTGTGTAAAATATTAAAAGATGATGCTGTTAAGGTTCTTCACTCCAAACTTAGAAAACTCAGTAGTGGCCAGAGGATTGGAAAACACCAGTCTACATCCCAATCCCAAAGAAGGGCAGCACCAATGCTCCAACTACCGTACAATTGCACTCATTTCACACGCTAGCAAGGTTATGCTCAAAATCCTCCTTGGCAGGCTTCAATAGTATGTGGACCAAGAAATCACAGAAGTAGAAACTGGATTTCGAAGGGGCAGAGGAACCAGAGAGCTAATTGCTGTACGACAATGCTGTATATTGTCCCCCTGCTTATTTAACTTGCATGCATAATACATCATGCAAAAGACTGGACTAGATGAATCCCAAGCCGGAAATCAGGATTGCTGGAAGAAATATCAACAATCTCCAATATGCAGATGATACCACTCTGATGGCAGAAAGTGAGAAGGAATTATGGAGGCAGTGACAGATTTTACTTTCTTGGGCCCCATGATCTGTGCAGATGGTGACAGCCACGAAATTAAAAGACGCCTGCTTCTTGGGAGGAAAGCGATGACAAAGCTAGACAGCCTCTTAAAAAGCAGAGACATAGCCTTGCCGACAAAGGTCCGCATAGTCAAAGCTATGGTTTTTCCAGTAGCGATGTATGGAAGTGAGAGCTGGACCATAAAGAAGACTGACCGCCGAAGATTTGATGCTTTTGAATTGTGGTGCTGGAGGAGACTCTTGAGAGTCCCCTGGACTGCAAGGAGAACAAACCCAAACCTATCAGTTCTGAAGGAAATCAACCCTGAGTGCTCACTGGAAGAATAGATCCTGAAGCTGAGGTTCGAATACTTTGGCCATCTCATGAGAAGAGAAGACTCCCTGGAAAAGCCCCTGATGTTGGGAAAGTGTGAAGGCGAGAGGAGAAGGGGACGAGAGAGGATGAGATGGCTGGACAGTGTCATCGAAGCTACTAACATGAATTTGGCCCAACTGCGGGAGGCAGTGGAAGACAGGAGGGCCTGGCATGCTCTGGTCCATGGGGTCACGAAGAGTTGGACGTGACTTAACGACTAAACAGCAACAACCCAATAGCTTATTATAGAATAAAAGTACAAAAATAATATTTGTTCTTTATATCCAAGAAATGTTTATGGCAGATTGCAATATGGAAATACAGCAAGGCATTGAGACAGTAAGATACTGAGATATCAGTCATTCATAACTTTCTCAAAAGCCACATTTGCTTTGATTTCTGGGATCTTAGTGTCACAAAGGGGCATTAGATAAAATTAAGTTTGTGTGCATATTTATGTGGCATAAATCTGTAACTAAAATTTAGCTTATTTCTTCTTAGAATTAAAGCAAGGTCCATTATTATAATATGGAGACAGTGCTGTATTGTTTTGCTTTATTGGTTGCTGGTAGAACTGTTTTGTAAACAGCCTGATGCCTTGGCTATGGGGACTAGGCAGCTGCTCCATTTACGTTCCCTGTAGACATTGTGACTGAGTGGAGGTTGTTGAAGATGGAAAGTAAACAAGAAAATAAGGTATATTTGATCACCTCTTAATCTGCTTCAATGCACCAGTTGTTTTTAAGGATGGATTCCCAAACATGCACTTACATCTGATTTGGGTTTCCACCTGCTCCATGTAATTAGTTGTTGTTTTAACCCATCTCTCAGAATTAACAAGCTAGATATTATTGATCAAATATGTATGCATATCTTTTGTATGCAAGTCAGAAAACTTAATGGTATCATCTTTCCCCTATGGTATAGAAGTTTGTAATACTGTATTTCCAATCCCTTTGAGGACAGACTTTCTAATTTGATTAGATTGCCCCTTATACTTGTTTTTGTGCTTGTTGTCTATCTTTTCCTTCAGGCTACAAGTTGATTGTGGAGTTGAGATGCGTCTTTCTGTACTTGCGCAAAAAAAAAATCATTGTAGTCTAACCTGTTGTTTGTACCTATATGTAACAAAACCCTGTTCTTAAAATATTAAAATGAGCACTTCCTTTAGGAATATATAGGAAGAAGAAGAGAGAATTAAAATAGTGGTTTTTTGTGCATAAAGTTTAAATACTTTTTACCTATTATCATATTTTTACCTGTTATCATAATTAGACAATATTTTATTTTTTAAAATTATTTTTGTGAAAAGTAACAGGAGGATGGCTTTTTTCTGTCTTCCACAGGATAAATACATGAGATTGGAATGGGTTCAGGTATGTCCTCAGGCACAGATTTTCTGCAAATCCCCTTTAAAGTCATTTACCAGTTCTAGTCACACTGGTATAAAATTGGTTCGATAGTTAGCATGAACGAGAGGGGCAACTCTTCCAACTGCTTGCTGTAAGACAAGTAGGGACCAAGAAACATTTTGCTTCAAGTCTAGAAAAATAATATCTTTTTGTGAAAGGGACTAATCTATGAAATGCTGACTTGTTTTTTTTCTTGTTCCAGCATTCTACAGGTCATTTATCTGAGTGAATCCTACTTGTGAACCTGCTAGAGATGAAGTGGGATTAATCCCCTCTAAAACTTCCTCAGCCATGAAAGAAAATGTATAACACCTGCAATTAACACTGGTGAGTCAAATAATGTAATGTGTGTATAGTATCACAAATTTAGAACTCAGTTCCAAAAAGTTCAGAAACAACCCCCATTTTTTTTGTTTGTTTTTACCACATAACTGATTAATACATTCTAAACATCAAGGAAATATTGATGTAATTTAAAGCAGGGTTGTAAAAAAATAGATTGAGAACTCTTGGTGGATCTCTGGGTGGATCTAAGTAAGCTGAGAAGTTTTTTTTTTAAATCTCAAGTACAGTGGTGCCTCGCAAGACGATGGCCTCGCAAAACGATGAATTCGTATAACGATGAGGTTTTGCTACCGCCATTGCGCTTCGCAAAACAGTGTTTCCTATGGTGGAATTTCGTTATATGAGTAGGAGAGTGAGCCCAGTTCCCCTCCTCTTCTTGGCTTCCCTTCCACACCAAGCGACGCTTACTGGAGGCGTAGGGGCGGCGGCGAGGGGGCGGCTGGGGAGTGGGGGGCATTGCGAGCAGCTTCGTGGACTAACGGGGTTTCCTGGCACAATGAGGCAAGCCCAGGATTTCCCCTTACCTCCTTACACGAGCGGGACAGC